CCCTTCACCCCCTCCTCCCCTCCCCATTTTCTTACATGATTTTGACTCATATCAGACTACTGTAGACATTGTAACATAATTTCTTTTTTTTTATTTTTAAATGTCTAAAACTGTCCCTTTTTTCTCAAGTTCCTAGTCTTCCAATTCTCTTTGAATTTTTTTCTCACTTATGTCCAAATTGTGTTGTACTCAAGACTGCGTTGTTTTGTCAAAAGGATAGCCATTTCCTTTCATTTTAAGTACCAAAAGCATTATCTTCCCCAAATACACTTTGTGTATCTACTTCTCTGTTCATCTGCCTTCAGTACTCTTCCTGTTGTTCTTGATAAAAGCAAAATTCTAGTATGATTCGTCTTTCAAAAATATTTCATTATTAAATCCCAGCCTGCTTTTGTAACAATTTGTCTCATAAAACTTCTGATACAAACTTTTAACTCCATCCAAATCTGTTTGTCACCTTGTTTGGAACATGCTTTTGCCTACTCTTACATTTATGCCCTTTGCTCATTCTATACCCTTCAAGAATTATTTTTTCCCTCATAGAAGTCCTAACATCTTATGAAACCATCAGGCCATACCTCCCCCATTAACCCAGTCCTTTCTTACAGTAGCCTATAGTATTAACTATGTTGAACTTTAGTACCACTTGTTATTTGGAACACCTTCATGAAATTATGTTGCACTTTCAAAAAATCATGATTTGTCTCCCAAATTGAGTTGGAGGCTCTTCTAGAGGAAAAGTTCAGTCTTAACAGTGCTGTGCCATATAATAGATGTTCAGTTAATACTTTTGTGGATGATTTATGAGTAATGGTTAGTCTGCTTTTTTGAAGTGTTCTTTAAAAACAACTTGGTTTTGTTTTTTGTGTCTTTTGTTTTATTTTTCTGGAATAGATTTTTTTATTAGTACATGCTTGAGTTCATGAAGCTTACAATCATCTTGGGGAGTGGTTACATGTACATACCACAGCTTGTTTAGTTTTTAATCCCTTTCTCCTGCCCTCTCTACCCCTCCAATTCCCCTATCCCATTTTTTCTTGTTGATATTATGAATCTTAGCTCATGCATGTTATACATGTGTTTACATTAATTGAGGTTATTAGGTTTCTGTACCTGGCATGTCCTTATTCTACTTATTACCCCTACCCTCCTACACTCCCCTTGTGCTTTTTCCCTTGGGCCACTTCCCTATTGCAAGAGATCCATCTCCTTGTCCCCTTCTATCCATCCTTATTATTCTCTTTGTTTGTACTTTGCCTCACTCGAAAGATATGATACTGTATTTAAGCTTGTGTATCTGGTTTAATTCACTCAACATTATATTTTCCTGTTGTATCCCTTTTCTTACAAATGTCTCAAATTTGTCCCTCTTTATAGCATAGTAGTATTCCACCATATATATATATATAGCCACTGCATTTATTATACCCAGTCATCTGTTGATGGATATACAGGTTGTTTCCAGGAATTAGCTATTATGAGTTGTGTTGCTATAAACATTGGTATGCTTGTATCACTGTAGTATGCTATTTTAAGCTCTTTGGGGAAATTACCTAGCAGGGGATCACTGGGTCATACAGAATTTCTAATTTTAGTTCTTTGAGAAATCTCCACACTGATTTCTATAATGGCTGTACTAATTTACATTCCCACCAACAATGAAGGAGGGTTCCTTTTTCACCACAGCTTCATCAGCATTGTTATTGTTTGATTTCTTAATAATTGCCATTCTGGAATCTTAACATTGTCTTAACTTGCATTTCTCTAATGACGAGATGTTGAGCATTTTTTCAAATATTTGTTAACCATTTATATTTCTTCCTCTGTGAAGTGTCTGCTCATATCCCTTGCCCATTTCTTGACTAGATCTTTAATTTTAGGTGGTTTAATGTTTTGAGTTCTTTATGTATTCTAGATATTACTCCTCTGCCTAAGGGGTAGCTGGCAAAAACTTTTTCCCATTCTGTAGTTTATCTCCTCACACTTCTGGTTGATTTTTTTTTTTTTTTTTATTTTCTTTTTTGGTACCGGGTATCAAACTCGGGTCTTTCTGTTTGCAAGGCAGGCGGCAGAACCACTGAGCTAAATCCCCAGCCCATACTGATTGATTCTTTTGCTGTATAGAATCTTTTTAGTCTGATATAATTCCATTTGTCTCTTCTTGCTGTTCTTGTGCAATTGATTTTCTGTTTAAAAAAATCTTTTCTCTGAAATAGTTTTGCATGGTGCTGTGTAAAGGCAGAGATATGAACTCAGCTCCCCTGGAGGCTGCTTTGCGCTTACAATTCATATATAGATGCAGTGGTACCTTGGTTCACAAATGTAATTTGCTCCATGATTTTAGAAAAGATGGTCATGTTTGTGTTTGTACAGGAAAGATGGCTATAGTTGTGTTTATCACCTGATATAGAGTTTGTAAACACAAAGTTCTGCCTAATGCTTTTGTTGGCAAACCAAATGATTCGCCAACAAAAGCATTTGTGAACTGAGATACCACTGTAAATATTTTGCACAAGTTAAGAGGAAGCATGTGAATTGAGATGACTTTGGTATGAGTTTTACAACTTTTTTATTTAAATACTACAAATGAATTTGTTTAAAGTGTCATTAATTTAAAAGAAATATGTATAGCACTTGAATATACATGCATTGATAGTTTTCTTCCAAATAGTTTGAAAAAGCTTAAATTATAGCACTTGACTTTTTAAAAAATATTGAACCATACAATATTATATACTTAAGTGGAATGATTACCTTATTTATTATTGAATTTGTATTTTGGGGTTGGGGATTTAGCTCAGTGGTTCCACCACCTGCCTCTCAAGTGCAAGGTCCCGAGTTTAATCCCCCCAGTACCCAAAAAAAAAACAAAAAAAAGAAATTGTATTATAATTAGGTTATAATTTTATTGCATATGCATGGATCCATTTACTAAGTAGCATTTCCTGAACCAATAATGATTTCATTCATTTTTGTTACTAATAAAGAGTTTTTCCATTACATTAATAGTGAGAATTTTTAATTCATTTATTTCCATAAAAAATGATTCTTCTCAGAAAGGTTCAGATGAATCTGTTATCATGTGGTGTTTTTTTAGTGATGATAGTCTTTAAATGTTTATTATCTTCTGATTATTAACATCAAGTTTTTTTTTTTAATAGAATAATAATAACCTGGATGCCTGCTGTGCTGTTCTCTCTCAGGAGAGTACAAGGTATCTTTATGGTGAAGGAGACTTGAATTTTTCGGATGATTCTGGAATTTCTGGTCTACGCAATCACATGACTTCTCTCAACTTGGACTTGCAATCAGAGAATGTGTACCACCATGGAAGAGAAGGAAATAGAATGAATGGAAGTAGGACTCTAACGCACAGCATTAGTGATGGACAACTTCAAGGTGGTCAGTCTAATAATGAACTATTTCAGCAGGAGCCACAAACAGCACCAGCTCAAGTTCCTCAAGGCTTTAATGTTTTTGGAATCTCCAGTACATCTGGTGCTTCAAATTCAGTACCACATCTTGGATTTCACTTAGGCAGCAAAGGAACATCTAACCTTTCTCAGCAAACTCCCAGATTTAATCCCATTATGGTAACCTTAGCCCCAAATATCCAGACTGGTCGTAATACTCCTACATCTTTGCACATACATGGTGTGCCTCCACCTGTACTTAACAGTCCACAGGGAAATTCTATCTACATTAGGCCTTACATTACAACTCCTAGTGGTACAACTCGACAGACACAGCAGCACTCTGGCTGGGTGTCTCAGTTTAATCCCATGAACCCTCAACAAGTTTATCAGCCTTCACAGCCTGGTCCCTGGACTACTTATCCTGCATCTAATCCTCTGCCACATACCTCAACCCAACAGCCAAGTCAGCAAGGCCACCAGACCTCTCATGTCTACATGCCCATCAGTTCACCTACTACTCCACAACCACCAACAATTCATTCATCTGGTAGCTCACAATCTTCTGCCCATAGCCAATATAATATTCAGAATATTTCAACAGGACCTCGAAAAAACCAGATTGAAATCAAACTTGAACCACCACAAAGAAACAGTTCTTCAAAATTGCGTTCTTCTGGACCTCGAACATCCAGCTCTTCCTCCTCAGTCAACAGCCAGGCCTTAAATAGAAATCAGCCCACTGTTTACATAGCTGCCAGTCCCCCGAATACTGATGAGACGATCTCCCGTAGTCAACCTAAAGTTTATATTTCAGCTAATGCTACTACAGGAGATGAACCAGGCATACGGAATCAGCCCACAGTCTTCATATCCACAAACTCTGGGGCATCTGCTGCCTCCAGGAATAAGTCTGGGCAAGTGAGCATGGGTCCTACCTTTATTCATCACCACCCTCCCAAAAGTCGAGCAATAGGCAATAACTCTGCAACTTCTCCTCGAGTGGTGGTCACTCAACCCAATACAAAATATACTTTCAAAATTACAGTTTCTCCCAATAAACCCCCTGCTGTTTCACCAGGGGTTGTTTCCCCTACCTTTGAACTTACAAATCTTCTGAATCATCCTGACCATTATGTAGAAACAGAAAATATTCAGCACCTCACGGACCCTACATTAGCACATGTGGATAGAATAAGTGAAGCCCGGAAATTGAGCATGGGATCTGATGATGCTGCCTACACACAAGGTAATATTTATACTAAGAGAAGGTTAATTTCCTAGACTGGGCTTATTTGATTTTACAGCAGTAATGGGTATCAGCATTACTCTTGTCTTTTTAAGTGGTATCCCAAGTAACATTATGTTAATATTTGAAGACATTCTTATAAATTTAAATTACAATTTTATTGTCATGTACTGGATAGAGTTATCAGCTTTTCAGAATAATCAATCATGGTTTTTTTGTTTAATGTCTAGAACACTTTCTTTTCAGTTTTTCTTGTACCTGTGATGATGCTGGCTTCCCTCTAAAACATCTACAAATAAAAATTCATAAAAACACATTTTTATGAGATTAGTTGATTCTGCTTTCTTTGACCACATATTTGAAAAATAAAAATTTTTCTTTTTTTCTGATATGACATTGTTAGTCTTACTGTTCTGTCAAAGTCTGCATTGCTGAGTCCTAGAATAATTTACACTTAAAGAAAAAATTGAATCATGATCCTGATACATGTTTCAGCCTCTCAATGTCATGCACATGTGTCTGTATACATGTGCATATGAGTTTCAGAGGTCTCAGACTGATTTTAATTGCACTAAAAATTGTGTTAGAATTTACATTTTCCAGATATCTGTAGGTAAATGAAACCACCTTTAGTTTGAGCAGTGTATGTATTTTAATATACCATTATTTTTCTTCTTTCCCCAAGGTATTATTCTCTTCTCTTGTCAAAATAGCAGGGTTTCTATGTTTGAGTAGTTACTGATATTTACATGGAGAGCAAATGGGTTTTTTTGGAGGGGTTTTAGTTTTTGGTACTGGGAATCAAACTTGGAATCTTGTGCTTACAAGGCAAATGGCAGCACCACCGAACTAAATCCCCAGCCCTTAACAAATGTTTTTTAAGAAGATAATTTTGTGAGAGAAATTATCAAATGAAATAGACATATTTAGCTGAATATTGCCAGTTATATTGTTATTCATATTTTAACATTCATATTTTAACTCAAATGTGATACAAAAGTATTGCTTAAATGTACCATCTCCAATTTTTTTTCCTCCATTTTCTGTTGAATCTACTGCCCTCAGGACTTCCACTACAATCAACCAGAACTTCTGTTATGGTCATCTGTTACAAGGTTATTACTCCATCCATTGGACATCTTTCAGCTCTCATTTTCCTTGATATATAGATAAAAATATTTTATTTAGTCAATCATCTTGTTCTTTATGAAACTCTTTGCTTATTTAGTTTCAGGTAGATTGTTGAAGTAGTCTTACTGCTCTTACTCTTGACTTCTTGTGATTTTTTTTTTTTTTTTTTTTTTTTTTTTTTTTTTTTTTGACTCAGCAACTTTGAGACACTGTTCAAAACATATGTCAGATCCTCTGCCTCTGGGGGATATTTAGTCCATTCAGAATAAAAGCTGTAAAACCTTACATGCTCTGCTTGCCCCTTCCCCACCAGCCCTTTTCCTTTTAAGCATCCACTTGCTTACGCTGTTCTAGCCCTACTGACCTTCTTATTCTCCATTAATCATAGAAACCATACTTTAGAGCCTTTGTGATTGTTCTTCCTACTGTCTGAATTTTCTCCTCAGAAATTCATAGTTAGCTTTCTCTCATGCTTCAGTACCTTACTTAAAGTCATCTTTTCAATGATACATTCCTTGTCTCACTACCTAAATTTATGCCAGAATTCCCAGTGTCTCCTGTTTCCATAGGGAGAAAAATGAATAATATTAAGAAACCAGAATAATAAATACTTGGCGAAAGTTTGCTGTGAATTAGTCACTGTTTTGAATGCGCATTTATTTCCCACAACCAGCTATAAAGTAAACACTGACAGTATTTCTTTTTTCAGGCTAAAGCACTTACGAGCAAATAGTTTAAGTAACTTAACAAAGCACAGATGGCATTTGAAGATTCTAACTAGGAAGTTGACAGAGTCCACACTTTTAACCACTGCACCACAATGTCTTTCTCTTCAAATTTGCAAAATAGTCTCTTTTCAGATGTGTCTTATAGTTTTTCATGTAGCCATTGAACACCCCTGTGAGGCCCACATGTGCCAAAGTTTGAGAAACATGGAGCTAAAAGAGCAGTAAAAAAACAAAAACAAGCTAATGAGTCAGATGTGGTGGCACACACTTGTAACCCAGCTGCTCAGGAGGCTGAGGCAGGGTAGTAACTAGTTCAAGGCCATCCTGGGCAACTTAACTAAACCCTATCAAAGTAGAAAGGACTTAAGTGTAGCTTCATGGTAGAGTACCCCTGTGTCTGATCCCCAGTACCAAAAACAAATATAAGGGGGAAACTCAACAATTAGCAGCTAAAATAGAAATAACTGGAGACAATAAGTAATACTCAATATAGAAAATACCTTCTGAACACACCTGAAAGTTAAAAGAAAAATCCCTAATAAGTGAAGGCTCTGGTTTGAAAGCTTAAAGCTTACCAGAAAGTTTCCCCAGAATTCCCTCTCTCTCTCTCTCTCTCTCTCTCTCTCTCTCTCTCTCTCTCTCTCTCTCTTTTTGGAATTACTGAGCTAAATCCCCAGCCCTCAGATTCTTCTCTTAACAGCAACCTTCAGACAGCTGTAACAACCTTTATCACTTTCTTTAAACATACCTATGTATGTATGGAATGTCATAACATTGGTGTGACTGTGTGATCTTGTATTGTCTGTGTGCATCCATGTTGTGTTAGAATGGGTACTGTTCTACAACCCTTTACCTCTTTGTTGCTCTCTGTTTATTATGAAACTGACATTGACCCAGGTTTACATGTTAAGTGATAATCTTGATCTGATGTTTCATTAACCTGCTTCAAGGTATAACAAAGGATTGTTCTTTTCTGAAAATTAAACTCTCATGTGTGATACTTTATAGTTTGCACAGAGCTCTCCGTAGTATTAAATGCTGTGACCTGAGTAATACTGCTCTTTAAACAATGGTCTTTTCAGAATTCTGATTCCAGCAGTATAAGTAAGAGAAAATAAATAGCTTTGCTCCTGCAGCAGTGCTGCTCTTTATGAGATCTTGAAATATACAAGTCAGATTAGAAAAATGAATTGAGCCAGGTACTGGAATCATTAAAGTATGTTTCCCAAATTGAGGAGGGACCAAAAGTTGCTAATCAAAATGTATTATTTTTCCTGTAGATTTGAAATCTAAAAATACTATAATGAATTCAGAAATGAAAATTTATTTTTAAAATATGTTTGATATGTTCTGTTATAGTGATCAGAAAAACAGTAAACAAAATAAAAGATACAGGAAGTAAGGAGATCTTTCTCAAAGAGAAAAGGGATCAAGAGATGGAGGGAGGGAAGAGGCAGTGGAGGAAAAGGATGAAGATTAAGATATTATGTACAAGGGCCGGGGATTTGGCTCAGTGGTTCCGCTGCCTGCCTCACAAGCTCAAGGGCCAGAGTTCAATCCCCAGTTACCAAAAAAGAAAAAGATGTTGCGTACATGTTCAAACTCCACATTGTATACTGCAAATATGTACTAATTAGTGACGTAACAGCGCCTCCAGGCATGATGGTATGTACACATAGTTTCAGCTACTGGAGCAGCTGAGGCAAGAGCATCTGTTGAGCCCAGGTATTCAAGGCCAGCCTGGACAACAAAATAAGATCCTGCCTCTTAAAAAAATAATAATAATTATATAGATCTACACACACACATTTATGAATATTAAGTTATATTCACCACAAGAGCAAAAAAGAAAAGTAAAATTCATGAAACTGCAACTACCTCCCTGCTGATAACAGCACTAAACCCAAAACTACCACTACCACCCCTAAAGTAAGTAAATTAAACTTTAGTCCTTAAAGTACTTTAGGAATCTAAGACAAAAATGAGTACCAATGTTGAAGAGAAATTTAAGTTTAAAATTTACAGATAGGAAGAAGACTCTTTTTACCTGGTAAGAACAAATATAGAAACAAAATTGCTTTCCAGTAGTACCATCACCCATCAAATAGTTACACCTCCCCAGGATTCAAACCAGCTACCACCTGACTTCTGAAAAGCACTTCATCATTTACTGTATTCTAGAGTCCTCTTCCATTCATACTGGCATGCATTTTTTAACTGGCAACTTTTACAGGTATGGAGAACAAAATGCTTTCCTCATTCAGACCAGTTTTGATGGTAGAAGAAAGAAGACCTCTATTTATTTTGTTACAAAAGCCAGAGACACTTAGCAAACTAACATAACTGCAAAAAGTCGTTTCTCATTCTCTCTTATTTCTCCAGAAATCCATCAGTAGTGTTGACCTAGCTGGCAAACTTTTTTTAAATTACATTTATAAAATCATAAATATTCTTAGTGGTACTTTAATGCCATTTTCCCTAGTTATATTTGTGATCCCATCATACTCTTTTAACTAGTAACCTTGAATTTTGAATCTAAAATAGAAATGCAAGTTAAAAAATTGTAGGTTGAAAATAATTTTTTGAACTTCACTTTTGTCGTTCCTTTTAATTTCACCAGTGCTTCCCTCCAAACTGCAATGACCTTCTGTTTAATGAGATTTAATAAAACAGTAATTGGGACACAAATTCAGTGAACTAGAAACTCTTTCAAAAGGAAATATAGCTTATTTTCTTTTCTACCATGTTTAGCTTAATGTATCCACTGGTTGAAAATGCCTTCTGTAGAATGTTCTATGTTGGCATTGAAATCACATTATTAAATAAGTAGTTAAGATTAATTGACATTAAATTGTTTATGGATTTTTTTTTCAAATTAGCTTTATTGCCTGTCAGTTTTTCCCAGTCTTAAAGTCTAACTATTTTTTAAAGTTGGAATAAATCAGGATTGGAAGAGATTTTAAAGGTCACATTGGATTCTAAATGAAAAATTATCTGCCACTTAAAAGAGCATGTAGTCCTCCAGGATCCTTATCAAGTGTAAATCCATCCTCTATTTGAATACCTGTGAGAAAAAAGCTTGTTTTCTAAGGTAACACATTCCATTTTTATAGAGCTTTACCTACTAGCAAGTTATTTCTT